TCCAGTAAGTCTGAAATACTGAACTAGTAACTAGTTATATTTATTAGTTAATTGCAAGTAAAATGCTGATGGTTTTGACTTTAGTGAGCATTTTCTGTATTTTTACTTCTACTCATCCGTATTTGTGAGGAAGGTAATCTACTCATTTATACAGAGTTACATTTAAGTCAAATTGGGTTTCACTTCATTCTGCTTTATATCAGTGTGCAGTCATTATTTCACGCAAGTAACACTTTTATATCAGTGTGCATTGAAGACAGCTGTGAGCAACTTAGCAAAAACTTATAAAAACGTATAAAACTGCTGTCACTTCTCTCACTTTGGTGATTTCACATTTAATTTTAGACCAAAAGAACCCAAAAATCAGAAGAACAGAGTGTAACACACTTCAGTTCCTGTGCTGAGAGACGCTGGATGAAGCAGTTTGTTGATCTGCTAATTTTGTACTTCCACATTCGCTGCTTTATTTGGAAAGATGTTTATATTTGAGTCATTATTTCACGGAAGTAACTAAAGAACCCTTGAAGAACCATTTCATTCTGCTGTGCTGCTTTACTGCTGCTCGCTTCTCTCACTTTGGCGATTTCACATTTAATTTTAGAGCAAAAGAAGCAAAAACTTTGTTTGATGCTATATAGAACCATTTTCAAAAAGGTTCTACACAGAACCATCTACAGGACATTCACAAGATTGATGGAGAATATGTTGTATATGTTCTACACAGAACCTTTTTGAAAGTGGTTCTATATAGCACCAAAAATGTTCTTCAATTGTTGTAAGCTTGATATCATAACAATAGCAGAACCCAATTATAGTGCTGTACAGAACCATTTTCAAAAAGGTTCTATACAGAACCATCTACAGCACATTCTCCATCAGTCTGAAGAACCCTTTCATGATGCAAAGAACAGCTGCTCCTCTCACTTTGGCGATTTCGCATTTAATTTTAGACCAAAAGAACCCAAAAATCTGTAGAACAGAGTGTAACACTCTTCAGTTCCTGTGCTGAGAGACGCTGGATGAAGCAGTTTGTTGATCTGCTAATTTTGTACTTCCACTTTCGCTGCTTTATTTGGAAAGATGTTTGTATTTGAGCCATGTTCAAAAAGGTTCTATATAGAACATACACAACAAATTCTCCATCAATCTTGTGAATGTGCTGTAGATGGTGCGAGTTAGAACCTTTTTGAAAAGGGTTCTATATAGCACCAAAAAGGGTTCTTCTACTGTTGTATGATGTAAAGCTTATAACATCAGACAAACCCTTTTTGGTGCTATATAGAGCCATTTTCAAAAATATATGGTCCTATAGAATCATTATCTTTACTAAAGAATCCTTGAAGAACCATCTTTTTTAAAAATGTACACATCAATATTTTGTTTTGCTGAAGTTTGATAAGTTTGATGAGGAACCGAGAAGGAACCTGCAGTGTGTTTCAGAAAAATACCAGCAAAATCTATGAATACAGTGCTGAAAATTTCACCGCACTAAATCCAGTGACAGTTTATCACAAAACTTAATAAAGTGCAGTCATATTGCTCAACTCTAAGCAATATGTACAAAAGTCAAAAGCAATTTAAGAAAAAAAGAAAATAAAGTTAGAATCAATAGGTATAGAACAGCAGTGGGTAACACTTTATTTGGACAGTCCACTTTAGATGCTTTGCAGATACTTAATTTACTTTAAAGTTACATTCAACTAAATATCTACTAAATTATTTTCTCTAAAATAACTCTAAACCTGCTCTAATCCTAATCCTAACCTTAACCTCAACCCAAAACCTAACCCCAACCCTCACCCTGGTCCAAATCCTAACCCCAACCCCACCACTGTTTAGGATCATGTGAGTTTCAGCTACAGTTTGAACATCTGTAGTTACTCTATAGGGCACTATAGTGGACTATCCAAATACAGTGAGACCCAGCAGTGGAAGTCTGTTTAGTCTTAATTCTTCTCTTTATGACCTAAAATTAAAACCTAAACCTAAAAGAGAGATTAAAGGATGAGAGGAGAGATTAAACCCAAAAATAAACACTAAAACTAAACGTTAATGACTAAAATGTAACTAAAATAAAAGTAGATTACTTTCCTCACTGACACAGAAGTGAAAGTACCCTTTAAAAACACAGAGAGTACAAATCCATCAACGTTTTACTTCACTACGTAAAACTACCCACCTCTGCACTGTACGTATGAGGCACACACAGGTTGGTCATTCAGTTTCCACCGAAAGGACATGTTGCTAGGGTGACCTGCGCTAGGCGACCGGCCTGTGCTCTAATTGAGAGCTGTATTATCAGCCTGAATTCCACAGGAACACAAAGCCAGGATTATTCTCTGCCTGAGCAGAGAGGGAGGGGGGGAAACTCTGAGCCACGGGGCTTTTCTCATGAACCCTCGGGGCACGCCAAGTCCCTGTCTCTGCGCTCCCGACGTGCTGAACCAGGATCAGCTTGCTGGAGTGTGTGTGTGTGGACACACTGCAGCTTTTGGCTTCTTGTATAAGGTCCCATTCAGACCCACTCAAGGCTCATTGTCCCAAAGCGGGAGCCCATCGTTTCCAGGACAGCTCATCTCCAATCAACAGAGTCTCTTTTAAAGGCTTTCCGGCGCTGTTGTAAGAAAATCTCACATTAATGTGATGGTAAGTTTTTAGGAGACTAATAATAATAATAATAATAATAATGATAATGTTTTATTTATAACGCACCCTTTCACAATCCCAACGTCACTTCACATAACAAAGGACACAAAAAAGCAGTAAAGGAGGAAAAGAAATGCTCATGAAAGTACACACTCAAAAAAGATGGTTCTTCAGGGGTTCTTTAGTTTAGAAAATGGTTCTATATAGAACCATGAACACTCAAATAACCCTTTGCATGATTAAAAAAAGATTCTTCAGATAGATGGAGAATGTGTTTCACATGGTTCTATATAGAACCTTTTTGAAAAGGGTTCTATATAGCACCAAAAAGGGTTCTTCCATTGTTACAAGCTTGGAAGAACCCTTTTTGGGTGCTATACAGAACCATTTTTAAAAAGTTTCTATACAGAACCATATAAAACACATTCCTCATCAATCTGAAGAACGATTTAATGATGCAAAGAGCCCTTTGATCACGCAAAAGGTTCTTTGAAGGTTCATAGTTCTATACAGAACCATTTTCTTTACTGAAGAACTCTTGAAGAACCATCTTTTTTAAGACTGTGGAAAAAGAAGAGTGGTCACGGAGAGATTTGGGGCACTGAAGGACCTCCCTCCCAATGTGGAAAGTGGACTGCAAGTAAGTTATTACAAGAAGACCTGAGAGAGCGAGAGGGAGAGTAAGTGGTCAGGAGGTCAGTGAGGTAGAGGGGAGTTAGGTTACACAGGGCACTCCAGCTGTAGAGGTCTGAATATACAGTAGCTGTAGTAGATACTTTACAGGGAGGCCAGTGAAGAGGGAGTTACAGTAATCAGTACAATACATAATAAATGAATGAACCAAAGTTTGTGCATAATAAGTTGTGCATCATCAGTCAGGAATGGGAGACGAGCAATGTTACGTAAGTGACATCCATCCATCCATCCATCCATCCATCCATTTATCCCTCAACAACTTTATCTGCCTTTCTATCCATCCATCCATCTATCTATCTATCTATCTATCTATCTATCTATCTATCTATCGATTTATCGATATTGGATACTGTTCTGTAGATGGTTCTATATAGAACATTTTTAAAAATGTTTCTATATAGCACCAAAAAATGTTTCTGCTATTGTTACGATCAAAACCCTTTTTGGTGCTATAAAGAACCCTTTTCAAAAAGGTTCTGTGTAGAACCATCTACAGCACATTCTCCATCAATCTGAAGAACCATTTAGCAATGCATAGAACCTTTTCAGGCATAGGGTCCTTTGAGTGTTCATGGTTTTCTACAGAATCATTTTCTTTACTAAAGAACCCGTTGAAGAACCATCATTTTTAAGTTCATAGAAAAGAACCCTGTTAACTTATTACTTAAGAAACCTTCATGCCCATATTAGGAAGTCTGGCTCAGTGTAGTTTCTTTCTATGACAAAAATGAATAGTGTTTTCTTAAATTGCTGCTGTTGAGTTCTGTGGTAAACACATGTTCCGAAGCTGACTGTGTGGTCTGTGTGTTTTCCCCTGAACATCACTGGATCCTCTGAATGATCAGGTTGTTAACAGTCAAAATATGACAAGGTATAAACAAGTTAACACTCCTGTGCACTGAAATGATGCAGCATCAAAGTAAATCCCACTATTAAACGTCAACATTATGAGCCTGCACCCCTTGCATTGACTTTAATTTGTGTCCAGATTATTTACATTTTTCACTAAAATGCCCCTGCTGTGACATGTGTGATATAAGATTTAACTTTCCTGTGTAAAAAGCACATCAACACAATGTTTCTGTTTTACTTTTGTTTACTTGAGTTAACCGGCTGTGTTCGAGAGTGAAAGAAGGCTGTTGGTTTGGGGAATTTCAGCTTTGCGTATCCTCAATGTTTCGTTTCCTTGTTTATTCTCTCAACTGCTAGTCAGCAGGCGCATTCATCTTGGGTGTGTTTACATCTGGCTTTTTAATATGGTCAAGCGAAAGCCAAACTTGACCAGATCAATGAAAACGCATGTCAATGCAAGGTGTAAATAGACCGTATTATATACCAACACCAGCTACTCAAACTGTACACAAAAACTGCCAAATCCTGCTGGGTTGTTTGGGGTATTTTGGTGAGATTGTCCATATTAATAGTTCAGAATGTAGCAGTTTTATCTTGCAAGTGGTTGTATTTATATTTTTAATCTTAAATGACCTCGAAATTTACCACCAGATGCGGGGAAAACCAGCTTAAAGCCAGAGCTCCTAATATGGGCATGACACTGACCACAGAGGTCTATGGGTCATGCAAAGAGAAGATGAGCATTTTTCAAAAGGACTTATTATAATACTTCCTCCGTTAACCAGTAAAGACAAGACAAAAATATGTAAAATGTAAAAATTTATTCATAAAAAATACGTCCACAGGACTGTGGGTCTCTCTTGAGTGACCATGGCAATAAATACATCAGGACAAAGAAAGCTGAGTCTTCTAAAACATGAGAATATGGCACAAATAATAAATGCACTACCTGGACAAGTCATTAAAAAGCCAAATTAACCCCTTAAACTAGAAAGATCCGACTTTCCTCCCTCAATCTCATAACATACATGAATTACATATCACAGTAGCCGCTAAACAACTCAGTAAATCGCTAAATAGTAAGTCTAAGGATTAATGACTCAATAATATGCCTACAGTTTAAAAGGGGAACTTCACAGATTATTCAGAAGTTCAGATTAATTTAATGGTTAAGATGTAAACAATGGTTTGATGTGAAGTGGTTCATTATAGAGAAAGAAAACAATGACACTGCTATTATGTTATTACACTGCCTGGTGTCTGAGACATTGTTTTACAATAGTTTTGAGAAAGTTTTGGCCTTAAAACATATTTAATAGCAAAAATAGTTCTCAAGAACACAGATTTTTCCAGATTTTATCATCATCAGCAACACAAAGCTTGTAGGTACATGTGTAGGTTCACTGGTGGTTTTGAATAGTAAATAAAATGGTTATATATGTGCTGTAGACATGGTGATGTCTGGTTCCTATCACCACCACTGTAAAGAAATCGGAGTCTATAAGTTACAATGCACTAATTCACATCTAACCATTCTGGGTGACTTTGTTTACATCCCACCATTTGGCCTGTGCTGAACATTTGAAAAACGAATGTAGTTCCCCGTTAAAGGGTTAAAGTTTAAGCTCATTTAAAACTAACAGCAACAGACTGGTCCCTGGCCTAGCATGGGAACCACACAACCTTTTGGGAAATGCCACTCTCACCCCTCCCACTGTCCTTCGGACGCTGTGGTTGAGTTCAGGGATTTCGGCTCAACACAGAGAGAGAGAGACACGACACTCAACAAGCTGCACGTCCCGCAATAAAACCAAATCAAATTACAGGACGACAAGGAGGAGTCCGGATAAAGACCGTGGAGAAGGCTAACGGTCATGCTTGGCATTAAAAAGAACACTTTAAAACAAAAAAGGCATTTTAAAAAGAACCAGAATGTTTCCAAAGCGTTCACATAATAAGACAGACACAGTTTTCTGCATAACTAAAAAGAAAATACTGATAATCTAAAGAGGAATGATTATTACGGTGGCATTTTGCTCCCTCTGCACTGGGGAAAACTTGAAACATTAAACATTAAGGCCAGCAAGGAAAGAAATCTTGCTCTGTTGAAATAGAGAACCAGAAAAAGAAAGGGAAAAAAAAAGACATTCATCTCTTAAAGGAATACCTTGACCATCCATGTCACTAATATCACTAACAGCGAATGGAAGCTAGAAGCCACCAATTACCATGACACCATCTGCGCCATGCTGACCAGCGGCTGTTCGTTTTCATTTACTGTTAGCAACATTAGCTTCTTCTGACTGCACTAATCCTTGAACACTGAGCTCCAGCTATCTAATAATCAATGCCCTGGTCATAGTGGCCCCGGTACTCATCCTGGTACTGGGGTTGGTACTCATGTTGGTATTCTCCCTGGTACTCAGCCTGGTAGTCAGTGTCGCTGATTTCGGAGTTGGTGCGGGTGCCCTGGCTGCCGTTAGAGTGGACGCTAGCCTCTGCGGTAGAAGGGCAGTATTTTGGGTCGTAAATCTGCCTGCCAAGCCCGTAAACACTCATGCCCTTCTGGGACGCTGCCTTGTTGGTGCCCATCTGCAGGGAGATGGTGGAGTTGTCCATCGGCTGCAGAGCAACTTTCTGGTCGTAGATGTCCCTCCTGGTGCCAGGGGCCGCCATACCAGCCTAAAGAGTGGACATAAGGCACATAGGTCAAAGCTGTATCTGTTGTTAATCTACTCTTCACTGTTTATTAAGCTCAAACGCCACAACTGATTGGCTGTTGCATTTAATTTAAAATGCACGCTAATATGAAACTAATGGATAAAGATGCTCATACTGAAGAAGAGAGATCCCCAAACTCACCTAAAAAGGCCATTTATAGACCTGTATTGGTTTTAGGGTGCATCTATATTTGGCCCAATTCCCTTTGGGCCAAAGCAGAAAATTATACACTGTTGTATTTTAGGTCTAGTTTGCTTTCAGACTAACATATTTGACACTGAACTAAAAGACACAAACAAAGACACTCCGTAAGGTCTGTGTTCGTCTGCAAGTGGATTAAGACTAACTCCTCAAGAGGTTTCCACCCACTTATATGGTGCGCACCAGGATTTGAATGGCTGCATTTTCACCTCTTCCATGATATTATTACTTCACTCACATTTGAGCGCCACATGAAGCCACTCACCAATACTGCATTTTATTATCCATGCGACATTGCACATCTCTGCCCTCTGCTCAGCAATGTTGACGCAAAAATGCTGGTTAACACCTTCGTTCTCACCCATGTTGATTACCTAACTCCCTCTTTAATGGTCTCCCTGTTAAATTGCTCAAACAGCTTCAGTTCATTAAAAACTCAGCAGCTGGAGGCGCTTTTACTAAGCGTACCTCACACAACACTCCCATCCTCCATCAGCTTCACTGGTTACCAACATCTTCCCACATGAAGTACAAAACTACTCCGCCCTTTATGGTCTCGACCTTACATACCTCACTAAGCTCCTTCATCTGTGCTCCATACGTCAACCAGGCCTGCAGGCCAGATCAGGCCCACGACACAATCCTATCCAGTCTGCAAAAGTATTTTAATTTTCTAATAATATTAGCCTGTTTCACAATGCGCTGCACTACAGTCCCCAGCATGCACTGCAACGTAATGTGCACTCCGACTCTCCTCCCCCAACAACAGTGTATGGGACAGCAGTTAAACCTCAGTTCTATGCAATTCCACACCAGTCATATCACCAAACACAGTAGTGGCATTTCAGCTGCAATTCAACCCATAAACCCTTAACATTAGCTCAGCAGCTCAGAAACTGAGCTGAACCTGGAGCAAAGAAAGGATGCCAGGTGTTTAGATCAAGCAAACAGATAGAGGACATTTAAATTTTGAATTTTCAATGTATTCATGTAATATTTCAACTACAAGTGCCTGTATATTTTGAATAAACAGTGGTCAGTTCAGGTTATAGCACGACATTAATTCAAAATGAAAAACAATTTTTTTCTCAGGCCCACAGATTTGTTGAGATTTTCTAATATGACCCTTTTACTCCTTAAGTTTGACATCCCTGATCTGTACTGCCCCTCTCACTCCTGCAGAGTTGCTCTCACTGGTTGGTGGCAGGTCTTTCAGCACTGCTGCTCCTAAACTTTGGAACTTACTGCCTCAGTTTCTTCATGACTGCTCTTCCCTCTCTTCCTTTGAACTTAGAACTTTCCTCTTTAATGCACACTATTTGTCTTTCTACAAATCTGTAAAGCATGCTCGAGTTTGTAAAAGACTATATAAACTGAATCTATTATTATTATTTTTATTATTATTACTACTACTATTACAAACCATGCTAGCAGAGCAAACACACCAGGGTTTGTTTTAATTGAACCAACCTGCCAAGTATGACATGCCCTTTGGCTAGCTTTACACAATGCAACTTTCATGCAACTTTATTTACTTGAAACCTACACTAAACTAAACTGCGCTTGAGTTGCATAATGTAAAGCAATGACAGCTGGAAAAAATCTACAGTAAAAGACTATATAAATGCTGCAAATATGTAAATTATACCTTGCAGAGGACTGAATGATATGATGTATAAGCTGCTAATTTGGATAACTAGTGGAGTAACTGAATGTGTTGCATGCAACTTTAATTCTGAATTGCATTTGTGTAACTGCGAAGAAATGATGTTGCAAGCATCTCACAACATGCAACAATCTGCATTAAAGCTCTCACCAGCTGTAGAGAGTTAAGCAGAAGTAATGAGATTATTTATTTATTTCTGGAGAAGGTAAAGTAACCCCATCACAGATCAGCAGAGGTAATCAGTCATTTGAAATGGGATTCCTTTGAGTAACTACCCAAACACTGGTTGTATGCAACTGATTATTTTCGGAAAGCATCATGTAACTGTCACATTGTGAAATTCTGTTATACGCAACTCACAACCTGCAACTAGTCGCGTGAAAGTGCCCATGTAAAGTCAGGCTAGGATGCAGAACTATGAAACTGAGATGCAACTTAGTCAGTTATGACTGTTAGTGTGGGCCCCACATACAGACCTCTAGAGTTAAAAAGGGACATGCTGCAAATTACATTATGAGGAACACTGCAAGTCTGCTCTAAGGCTGTGGTGGTCAGTTCAACAGTGGACTACAGTATTGCAGAAGTGAAGTTACAGATTACAGTTTCCTGTTTTGTGTAAAACAGCTGTTTCTGAGAAAACGTGCTTTGAATAATAAGCAGATCCAAAGCACTGATGAACTAAATTGTGCGCTATACCATTATATGCTATATACACAGACGTATACATTTAGAAAGTATTAGCATTACTTTAATTACTGCAGTTCTCATATTGGGGGCCACAGCAGGGGAGCGCTAAGGAGGCCAACAAAACTTCATAAGTTGTAAAGTAGCAAATTTTAATTTAGCCAGTTTAATAAATCTGCTTTAGCCATACCTAAAACTTCATACCTATTTAAAAACGGTAAATATCATTAAACACAAATTAAACCTGCTTACTGATCACAATTCACAGTTACACTATGCTCACCGGTTATGCTAACAGGTTATTGTCATAGGGGCCCATGTGTCAATGAGCAGGTCAGCGATAGCTAGAAAAACAGACAAGGTTCTGGTAAAACATGGACTCGTCAAGGGTGGGGCGGCACTTAATATCCACAAAAGGGGCCCTAGGCTAAAAAGTTGAGAGAACGTCTGGCCTGGTCCTTAATCAGTGTCCAGTTTCTGACCACAGAGCCACTCTTGTCTGGATATTTTTGGGTGGTGGTCCACTTTCAACCTAGCAGTGACACTGACGTGTACAAAAACTACTACAACTGTGTCTGATACACTCGCGCTAGAACCACAAACACTACCATGTCAGTGTCACTGCAATGCTGAAAATGAATCGCCACCCAAATAATATCTGGACAACAGCAGTCCTGTGGTCAGAAACTGACCATTGATGAATGGAGTAGAGGGGGCTGATAAACAGCAGCAACTGACTGGGCTACTGTCTGTAATTGTAAACCTATATAGTGGAGCTATAAGGTAGATTAAGCTTATAAACAGTGTTTTCCACTACATAAAGTACTTCTGGCATCAGGGAACCGAAACTGTGCTTTTTCCAATCGGTTCAGTACCGAAGGCTCCACTTTTATCGTTTTTGGTGTTCCAGATCGGTACCAGCAGCACCTAAAGGTACTTGCAGATCTTCTCCTCCATCTTTGGTTACATTTGCAGCTGAAAGCCAACAACAATTTAGCGAATTCTTTACTCTTCCAGGTGAAGACAAAGTCACCACATGCTATTACATTCACCAAAAGGTGCACCATAAAGTAAACTAGAATGGTATTCTGATGTGTCAACTGCTGTTTCGAGAACTGCTAGTTTGTAAAGAGTTGGCTAACGTCACATAAGCTAGTTAGAAAGCCAAGGCTAACATCGTTAGCATTTATGCTACACTCTACAGAACAAGTGTTTTTGCTAAGCCAAGATAACTAGTGAGCAAAACAGTTAACGTCAATTCACACTCAAGAGAACAAATTAAAGTTTTATGAAAGTTTATGATTTCATGTTGGTACAACCTTGTGTAACCAATAGTTAAGCTAACTAGCCAATCAAGACAGACAACTAGTCAAATTAGATGCTTTAGAGCAGGGATGGATTCGTAACAGGGCCACTGGGGCCAGTGCCCAGGGGCCTCCAACTGCCAGAGGCCTCAGTGGACCTCAGACCACAAGGCCCGAAGGGGGCTCAAACACTTAGACGAAAGCATAGCTACTGACTATCTACAAATGATCAAATAAATGAAATAAAATCAAGAAATGTGTTTTCAGGCCCCTCAGGTTTTATATCATCATTGATTTTGTTGCTGCCATTCAAACTGGATGTTTTAACTTTCAAAGTGTAGAAATTCTTCTGATTCTGAATTACAACTTTATATGGCTTAAAAAAAAGGGAAGAAAGATTGTCTAAAGATACACAACCTTCCACAAAAAGCATAAGCTGTTACAGTGTAGACACAATCGAAACTTGTACACTAATCAGTAATCAGGCTAATTTTGTTTAGCTCAAAGCAAAAAAAGCTATTCTTTAATCTCACTTTCCAGGTATTTATTTATTTACTGTTTTTGTAAGAGTTCAGGAGGGGAGGCCCTCACAAGATACTGGTGCCCACTGTTAATCACTGTTATTATGGTCAATCTAACTGTCTCTCAAGCAGGTGGAAAATCACCAAGAACCAGGTCAGCTCTTGTTTTAGAACACACAGTGGGGGAAAAGTGGCCAAAGCTATAAAGGCAGGTGTTTCTGATAAAGTAGACAGTGAGTGAAAGTGCATGGTAGGTGTTTCCAATAAAGTGGCCAGTGTGTGCGTCCATAGACAGTATGATCACGGCCATTTATTACTCTATGATAGTTACCTGACTTGCTCCCTTGTTGGTACCCATTTGCAGGCTAATGGTGGTCTGGTCGTAGGGCTTGTCTGTTTGGGTCTTTGGGTCATAAAGGTGTCTGCGGGTGCCATAGGCCGTCATTCCAGCCTGACTGGCACATTTATTCGTACCCATCTAGACATGAGAGAGAGAGAACAGCAGTGTGCTGAAAATGTGTCCTGAACTTTAAATATAACAGCTGTTGGTGATGTGATGATGCTCCTCACCTGTAAGCCAATAACACAGTGGCCAGCCTTCATCTTCTCGTCATCAAAACGGCGCTCTTGCTTGTCTGCATATTTCACACCAATATCAATCTTGGTGTCCATACCTTTGGTCTTCGCCTTTTAAACACAAATAAATAATAATATGCAGTTAAGCAGCAGTAAGAAACCTTCTTCAGGGCTTTTCTAATGATTTCTGGGACCTACAAAAATATATGTTTAGAATATTTATGTTTGTTGTTTGTTCATGTTTGTTGCACTTAAACTCTGCAAGCCTTTATTTCATTGTTAAGAAGAGAATTAAATGCCCAATATAACTGTTCATAATTGTTGTTTCCTCTGTGGTATCTTGGTAGATACAGCCCAGTAAGCTCTCCCTCTCTCATCCTTAGGAAGTGACAGCTGAATCAACCAATCATGGTTTGATTTACAATGAGTGAGACTAAATTTGTGAGTTAAAACAAATGTGACACTATGTCTTCTGAAAGTTTGAGATACACCACCGTCTGTGAATAAGTGCCATAGTCTAAATAGGTTCCAGTCAGTCGTTAGAAATGGAAAATAGTGGTGGCAGCTCTATGTCAGGACTCTTTACTTAAAGAGTCCCTGTAACACTGATACATATAAGAGTATACATATAAGATTATATCTATAAAACCTGTGAAAAGCTTAAAGCAGCACAGCCAAAACTGTTAGCCTAGCGCTAACATACTATTAGGGGTTCTAGGAGGAATTAGCATTAATCGCAGAGGAGTTTGCTTTGATATTTAAGGCAAACTGAAGGCCTAGTTCTAATAAGCACAGCTCGTCACAGCAGTCAGTAATACAGAATCATACTACTACTACTTATTATTATTATTATAAATTGCAGTTCTTTGCTGAATTTCCAAAAATGAACTGTCTGAATCTTGATATGTCTCTGGTGCAGCACCACTATCCAAAGGCTTGTATGAAAATCTCACCATGCTGGCCAGGGCTAGCAGCGTCGTCTGGACTTGAGTCATGTTCCCATTCTCAAACAGGTCGTTGGCTTCGAATACGTCGCTTGGCTTCAGGCCATACACAAGAATGGCTTTGATGAAGTTCCCCAAGTTCTCAAGCTACATTAAATGACAGAAAATAGGATTTGTTTCCAAGCTTCTGTTGGAGAAACTACAGAAAGGATTGGCTTTGGGTATAAGATTTGCTTTGCATTAAAGACGAAGAACCCAACCCATTTAAAATCACTTTAGACCTAAAAAAAAAAAAGAATTTCACTGAACTACAGGCAGAAATGCTTCAGCAGAAATGATCAAAGCTCACCTTGTGCCAGTTGAGTTTGGAGTGGTTGATTTTCTTTATAGAGCCAGGCTGTAGTTTATTGATCAGCCTAGATATGAAGAAAAAGTTAAGTCAATATTAAGGACGCTGGTATTCGATCCATCACTTTCTAACGATATCAGACAGATACCGAAACCTGTGTTGGATCAGTGCCGTCTCTACTGATCAAGGAAAAGAAGAGAGCCAGTCCCACTTTGGAGACGTTTTAGTTTACCATTAGTGTAAATAATGAATGTATGCAGTTCAGAAATGCTGATGTACTTTGAAACTGAACATTTATGACCGTTGGTGTTTTTACTGATCTACATTCCTGATCAACCTTCATCTGTGCATGACCCAAAAACAGAAAGTCACACAAAGGAGTGTCTCTGAGAAGATCAGGTTGGGCAGGAGAAGAGCTCAGTATCGACTGAACAATGAGTGGTAAACTACACAAACCATCATCTGAATGACAAACACCACTCACTCGCAGAGGATGACTCCGTCCTTCAGCCCCATCTGGAAATTCTCTCCGATCGGCATGCCGGTCACTTCCTCAATCCAGTAGCGGAGCTCCTCCTCTTTCTGAGGGTCATACTTCTGAGCAATCTGAGAGGACACAAGTGTGGTCAGGGGATCAGTGATTTTCCTATAGTAGGATTAAATAATCAGAAAGACACATGTGGAACTAAGAGAACTGTAGTGTTATTTAAAGTGAAACATATGGACATAAATTGTGCTGTGAATAAACACTCTGACATTTCCTAACATGCCAAAGGGGAATACCATGGATTTTTCAAAATGTTTGCATAATTCACTCGCTGAGATGTAAACAAAGTCATTCAGAGTGGTTTGATGTCAAAAGATTCATTGTAGAGAAAGATTCCACTTTCTTTACAGTGGTGTTGACAGGAACCAGGGGTCACAATGTCTACAACACAAACATAGCCATTTATTTTTACGTGTGTTATGAAATAATGATGGTTTTCTTTCAGGGACACAGAACTGTTGGACATCTGGTTCCTGTCACCACCAGTGTGCACAGTTCGGACTCTCTAAAATGAACTATTTCACATCAAACCATTCCAAATGACCTTGTTTACACCTTAATGATTGAAATATAAAGAAAGTTTTCATTTCAATTTAAGTTAGTGGAATTCCCCTTCAGAGTGCAATATTTTAAAAGCTGTCAGCGTCTGCCAGTCCCAATGCAGTGTTGTCCTCCAATGATGGATGTTCTAATTAGTTGATGAGTGGAGTGCATAGGGAAAGCACTAAAATGAGCAGTGTAGACTGGGAAACAAAACAAAACACACCTTGTGAAATACTAAGGTCACTTAGTATGAATACTCAAAAGTATGACTGTTTGAGTTACATACATACATCATCTAAACCGCTTATCCTTCTGGGTCGCGGTGGGGTGCTGGAGCCTATCCCAGCTGTCACTTGGCGGAAGGCTGAATGTTTGAGTTAAACTGAGTTGAAGTTAAATGTACAAAGTTTTCCCAAAATGTAGTCAAGAAAACCAAGGTTTCTAAACAACCTGAGTTGGTTTAACTGCCCCACAGGCTATGCTCAGACTGCCAGCCCAACTCCAATCTCTGGCATATCCAGATTGGTTTTTGATAGTGTAGACAGCAAAAAAAAAAAACTGGATCCAAACCACATTTGGAGGTGGTTTGCAAAGTGAATGTGATCAGTCTGGATGCTCTGGCTGCTTAATGCGGATTTCAAAATGTCTTCTGCCTCACTTGCACCGTGACAAATAACAACAATATCAAATTCAGAGGGACAGAAGTGCTGGGATTCAAGAAGAGCTCCAGAGATTCATGCCTATGCCAGAGAATTCTGAAGAGTTCGGAGGGCGAGATGATGCACCTCCATCTCGAAATGTGTGTCACCAGCATAGCTACGCAGTTACTGATAAATACGTTGTTACCGCAACGACCCGTGCAGACAGGTCAGTGATGTCTGGACACACAAATTCGATCTCATCACTAGCAAATAACAGGACAGTCATCTCAAAAGATCCGATTTGAGAACCCATCACAATTTGCCTGCAGTCTGAACACAGCCACAGTCAATGATCAGACAGTTAAAGAGCAATTAGGAGATCTAGAACTTGGGGCCTGCTAGCATGATTTCAGGTTTGTTTGTATTTAATTTAAGTCGATTCCCATTCATCCAGAGCTTGAGATCAGAGGTACATGCTGTCAACTGTGCCAGGGAACTGACAGTAGAAGTATTATTGGATACGGCAGTGGAAGCAGCACCTGGATATAACCAGGTCATTGACATAGCAATGAAAGCTAAAACCATGGCTATTGATCATTTGTCCATTGTCCATGTAAATATTTAATAAAAAAAAATAATAATAATAAAAAAAGAGGACCAAGTACTGATCTTTGGGGCACACCATGAGTAATCGGGGCAGTGCATGGCTTTCATAGGGCACACAAAGTGTTTTCTGTTGGAAAGGTATGACCTGAACCAATCTAAAGAAACGTCTGTAATACTAATAGACCTGCTTATGTTATATCGGACTCTATATCACATCTATAAAATTGAGCAAAAGTACATTGCACAGCTAAAAACGGTAGTAACCAGAATTTTGTTCACACTTTGTATATTTTAAATTAATGGCATCTGAAGTTTGGAGAAAACTGTGTAAATTTAATACTTTTTCCCTTCTGAACTCCCACTTTGACATTACAAAGCTGTTCCCAGCTTAAGGCTGACTCTCACTCTCTAAGACTGGCTTGCTGTCATGCTTGAAGGTCAAGTTGGGAAAATCGTCCCCTCCTCTACATCCCAGCCCTGTTTGCACAGGATCAGTGCCAACAGCAGCACGACATACAGGAAATTGCATGGAGGGTTTGCCCCACGCATGAACCCTGACTCTAGGGCCAGCTTCAGACGCCCTTCAGACTGCAGCGCTCCACAACCAAATCCAAAAGAACCACAGAGAAAACACTCATCTGACGTGCAGCAGCGCTTGGAGTACACTGTCATTATGAAGTCAGTTTAAGCAGTTAGTTTTTACTGCCTGGCAGCCAAACACAATAACCATAATAAAAGGAGCATAATAGTGACAGAACAACTCCGTCTGAAAAAGCACGGATGCCTTTTGTTGCCGCACTTCCTTTCCCAAAGCCACAACACACCTAAAGGCCTTCTGGAGTGCACTCAACAAGTCGGGTCTTGAAAGACTGTCTGTGTGCGTAACACAGGTAAGCTACGCTCAACAAGGAAAAACACAAACATTCAGGCGTTCCTGTTCCCACCAGGACTGTCGCAGGCACACATATGGTCCGTGACCTCTAAGCTGCACATAATATAGCATATTTCAGCATATTTGTCTTCTCTGGAGTGAGAGAGGAAATCCCCCGAGCTGCATAAACAAGCTAATGTTACAAATAACAGCAGCGGATAACGTGACTGCAGACTTCTCTGTGTAACTAGTTTGTACAGGAAGTAACTACATGATATCACCGAAAAGGATGGTCCATAATAAGAAACCTGCTCATGTTAATGTTTCACTGTATCTAATCCTAATTATAGCTTTAGTGTTAAAAAAGTGACTGAAATATACAGGAATTTGATGAGTGAAAAATCAGTTCCCTTTTAAACCGTGTCGAGTTGTTTATTAATCTTTAATAGACTTGCTTACATGGTTTCAGACACTGTTATCTATTAACAGACTACAGTACATCACATTGCTATAAACAGCAGCAGCCATTACAAAACCAGAATTCTGTCCCCGTATTTGTCCATTTTTGTGCGTCACAATATTATGATGAATGGTTCAAAATTACAAATAATTTCTCCATTACCTTCCCTCAAAAATCTGTTGTTCTTCTGTAATCTTACCTTTTTGAAGATATGAGGTTTTGTTACAACAGGATTGATATCTAACATTTTATAATGTGTCTGAATTCATTTATAACAGGCATTTTTCATTTGTATTAGATTTTCTTTGTTTACACACACACACACACACACACACACACACACACACATACACATACATACACATACACATATACATATATATATACACACACACACACACACACACACACACACACACAACTAGCCATTCTGAACAAGGCTTCACATTTATTTATATGATTATTAGCTGGATAACGCTAATAGACAGAACCACATTCTCGTGTGGGGTCACTGCATGAGAGGTGGATATCGCTGCATGGAGTTTTTCCAGAAAAGTCCTTCTCAAAACATGATCATCTCACGAGGCACAACCCCCCCCGGCTGAGAATCACTGGTTTAAACATCATGTGCTTTTTAGGAAACTTGATCATTTATGCAGTGCAACCTGTTGGACTGCACATTGACTTAAAAATATGAATTAAATGATTAAATTAATTAATTTGAAAAATATATATATATTTTTTTTTATTTAAATATTTGAGAAACACACACAAAAAGAAAACTTCAAACATGACGATCTTGTCTGACGTTCTACTCCGTCCAGGCTCTGTGTCAGTCAGCGCTCTGCTCTGTGGTGAGCACCTCAGCTTCAGAGAAGTGTCAGTTTAAGCACAACAGGAAGCAGCACTTTAACACTACTCACTGCTGGAGCAAACACAGAGGCTTCAGCATGACACCATGAGTAAACACCGCAGGGCACTGGCACCACGTTCAGACACCCTGCACTTAGCAAGGCCCTCTAGGCTGAGTCTGTGTTGATGGGGAGGTGTGAGTGCAGTGATTTCCACTACAGAATGGTGTCCGTTTTTAATGCATAAAATACAGAGATACTTACATACAGGGATTTCTCCAGATTCTCTGAATCTTTTAGTGATATTTCAAACTGCAGATGATGAAAAGCAAAAGTTCTTTGCTATTTTACATTGAGAAACATTATTCTTTCACAGAGTGGTGAGCCCCTCCGTATCTTTTCCTCTGAAAGACTCTATGGGATACTGTGTTATACTCAACTATGTTACTGACCTGTTGCCAATTTACCTAATTAGCTGTGAGATGTTCCACCAGGTGTTTTTTCCAGTCTTTTCTTGCCCCCGTCCCAACTTTTTGTTGCTGGCATCAAATACAAAATGAGCATATATTTGTCGAAAAGCAATAAAACTTCAGTTTCTACATTTGATTCGTTGTCCTTGTACTATTAAATATAGGATATAATTGATTTGCACATCGATGCATTCGGTTTTTATTTACATTTTACACAGCGTCCCAACTTTTTTGGAAGCGGGGTTGTCCTTCTAGTACATACATTATACTCATAATGGCCCACATGCAGCAATGCTGCGTAAAAAAGTGCGTGGATTTGACCGCCTTTATATACATAGCGCCCCCTCTTGGAGCATGCCAAGTAAGTGAGTGTGTTAACAAGCCTAAAAGAAGGTTAATAATCAGTCATTGGCCAATTGAGCTGTAAAGAAACTGAACTGTCTAAATAAATAAATAAATAAATTCAATTAATAAATAAAAAACAATTATATATATACACATATATATATATATATATAATTATAATGTTCTTGTTAAAGTACAATTAACTGTGCAGCCCTAGCTGGATGTGCCGATGGTGGATCTACAATGAAGTCACGTCATCTCCAATTGACTGA